AATAACACAACAAGAACTTCACAATAATCAATCCAAACCACCAACATCAACACCAATCAACCCAAACAATGGACCAAAAGGCTATATGTGATGATGAACAACTTGAATCTTGAAGATATGTATGAAGAACACAAAAACAAATTGTCCAAGTAGTGAACAACTCAAAAATTTTGACTAGAACTTCTTATTTTGGGAGAGAGAAATCCAAAAATCAAAACAAGAAGAAAGACACACAATTCGAGTTTAGAAACACGATGGTATACACCAAAGATGGCTCTGATAACAAAAAAATAAGATAGCAACTCAAGATCAAAACCAATGCTTAAACAAGTATCAACTTTGAATATTGAATTAGACAGAATATGCAGCGGAATGATGACAAACTCGAATATTTACTTGAATACCATAGACGCAAATTAGGATGATATTTGATCTCACGTGGACCAATTCACGAGTTCAAAAGAACCAACAACCCAACTCAATCTGATGAGTGGGACTATTGAATTCTTGCAAGGCCCCCTTTCGAAAATCTTACAAGAAGAACCAATAGATATTGATCTATAGCCCTTAAATATCAAAATCAAAAGATAACATTACTATAGACGCCACTTTCCAGCGAACCACACAAGAAAGATAAGTCTTAAAGATCGTCACTACTCAAAGAAACAACCAAATAATTCGCTCTACACATGAACAAAAACTCAGAAAGGTTAAAACCTCACAAAATCAATTCAATTCAACTTATCATATAGAACTCGAGGTGCAACCAGTTCCTTTTATAGGGGTGGTTGGCCAAATTTCCAAGAGAAGAAATAGGACACTTTCCCTAATTCTACGAATTCAAAGTCATGTTGGACTCTTTGACTCCTAGTTTTCTTTATGACCAAGAAAACAAACATAGACTCTTCCATAGACCTAATACATTAGATCTAAGTGTGAAAAGAAATTAAAACTCCTGTTACTAAGGAGATATTCTCAAGAAAGAAGCTTCCTCCTTGCGCCAATGCTTGGTGACAAAGTAATCTCCTTTTCTTGAGCTCTACTCAACCAATATCTGCCGTGTAGAGTATTTATTTGCCAAAAATAAATAATTAAGTAAAGGTGGTCGAGATTTCCCTCCTATCTCACCATTACTAACATTCACAACCTTCACAAGTTGTTCTTCTTTAGCATGATCATTCTCTTGTTCTTCCATAGCTCGATGGTCTCCATCATAAGATGATTGGTGTTATAAGGATAATCACATTCAGTGATGAGATGTGACTGACCATCAGAAAAATCTTTGAGGATCTCAATCCCATGAATTGATTGCTTTGAATAATTGTAAACTAGAATCGTTATGCTGCTATGTACTTTCTAGTTTTAGGGCTTGGTAGAAGTTTTGTAAAACAAAAGTAATAAAGTCCATGTTCAAAACCAAGTCTTCAACCCTAGACTTGTTTTTCTTCTCTCCTGTGCTAGAAATCATGACAAAAAAACATGATCTTGTATCATGGAATATTTAGGAGTCTATTATTCACTTAATAGTTGCTCCTTGATCTGTTGATCACATTCTTATTTATTACAAACGAAGTGTTTTTACGAGATTGATTAAGTGATTTTTTTTTCTTGTTATGTCTGTATGGTTCTGTTAGATTTAGAGACTTGCCAAATGATAAATAAGTTACCTGCACACTTAAATGACCAATTAATTGAGTCAAGAATATATATGATGACCAGAGTGATGCATATACCCCCCAAAATTAAAGGTTACATGATTTGATCTCCTTACAAAATTGCATAAACAGTAGCACAATTCGTGTAAAGACAATCTCTTATGTATACTTTGCTTATGATAAAGTTTCTCATTGCGTGATACTGTGCTTTTTAGATTTTTACTTTTACTATAATTATTTTATTTTTACTTTTACTATAATTTAAACTCAAAATAAAAATTCAAATTGAACAATCATTTCGAGCCAAAGAGAGTTATAATAAATTGTATTTAGTAAGTCCATATACATGCACAGATAATTACTATTTTATCAAAAAAATTTTAAAAAAATCTAAACTATAATATATGATAAATAATTCTTTCCGTCCAAAAATAAAGAAAGCTCATTTTATTAGTATTATGTTTTAATTTAACATAACTTAAGAGGAAGCAAAAAACCATAGTAAACATGCAGCTATAAACTTGCCTTACTATATAGTGCCCAGCCTAAAACTGCACTTGAGGTGTTGAGTAGCCTTTGGTCCCGTCAGCGTACATAAATTCCATACCATCATTATAGAGAAATTGACTTTCCACTTTCCACACGAATATATACCACTTCATATATATCCATATTAAGTTTATGTTTATTTGACATGAAGTATGAGTTGATAACATATACTACTCTAACTATTCTCTACTTTATTCCCAACGAATTGTGTTAATAGATCAAAGATATATGAATTTTCTTTAGGTGAAAAGAATCATATAGTTTTTTGGAAAACAAGAATCATCTAGTAGATAGCCTTATAACTATTCCCTGCATATTAAACAATATAGTAATATTTTCCGGACGTTTCCTAAATGTCATAGTCCAGCGTAGATTATAGGACAGATACCTTCTTTAATGGTATAGCAATGAAGCAGGTTCGTGGTGCGAGGGATAAGGGATCTATAATCGATCCGCGTTTCTTAATGGTGTAAATTCGTATCCGGGCTTCGGAACCACAGGTTGTTTTGATGTTCCTAAGAGGGAAATCGCTGCTTTCTTTGCTCCTGTTACTCACGCAACTGCACGTAACCTTTGAGTTTTCTGTGATGCTAGTTCACCTTGATAGCATCTTGTTCATTGACAGCTTTTCCCGTAGCAGCAACAGTTGTGCCATCGATGTTTGGCTCTAGTAGCTATAATTATGTGAATCTCCAAAAAGATCAAGGGTCCCCGCTATATACTATTTTTATTCAAATGGTTTTTTATGAGAAATTCAGCCTGTAGGAAGCTATATAGCTGGGGAAAGACAGGGATAGCGAAACCAGTCCGCATAAAGCATACAAGGGTTTTGCTACAAGGTCAGTCATCTGGCAAGATAGAATGACAAGCCATTCCACGGATGTTTGCTATTTTACACAAAATGGAAAAAAAAAAAAAAAGATTCGGATGGACTAAGTGCATTTGATTAAGAGGGTTTAAAAGCCACAAATAAGGCCACCCGACTATCCGGCTTCACCTGCTTGTGACATACTCTCCAAAGGCAACCCGACTATCCGGCTTCACCTGCTTGTGACATACTCTCCAAAGGCAACCCGACTTGAAATTAATTGATCTTTCCATTTCGTCGCGGGCTGCACATACAATGAATATTTACAAATAATAATAATCACAGAACAAATATCTTCCAAGAAATGATTAAAACTGAATCCAGGAGAATAATTTCACTACCAACTATATAGTCCTGATAGATACATGTGTCTTACAGGCTCTTGGTGATTATATATAATCGGTGCACTACAACCTTCATTGATTAACTCCAAAGCTATAGCAAGCTATCTCACTGCATGTGGCTCAATTGTTATTTTAGTTATTTAGTACCATACCCACTACAATTGTTAGCATAATTTTAGTGTGATTAAATTAGTTTGATTTGATCTTATCTAATACTTCCTGTCTCAAAAAAAAAAAAAAAAACCCTCCTATTTGAAGTATTTTTTTGATACAGGTATGTGCTATTGATAGGACAAGAGTTAATATTCTTATATAAACATACATTTAGTGTATCCATTAAATAAAACACACAAATTTCGACCATAATTCTTTTTGTACTGCTAAGAACAATACCTTTATTTATTTATTTATTTATTTGCATATTTGCAGGGTGTTCAGCATTGACAACAGTGACTAATTTCCCTCACTGAATTATAGACACCTCGATAGGTGAGACAGCTGGCCAAAGTATTTAAGGTTGCTCCATGCCTATGGCGAGATTCGGACCCTCGACCTATGGGGGTTGAGTCCCTTCCACTCCACCACAACTATTTTGGTTACTAATGATAATAACTTAAAAAGTTATAATGGAAAATAGTTAGTCTTAGTCGGTTACGTTTTTGGGAAAGAGGTGCACTACCCACTTGCAGTACTAAATTGTGGTACCCTACCTCCATAAATTAGTTATATTGGCAGCCATCAACATATACATAGTTATATACAATATCCATACCATCCCTACGTACGGAGAAATTGACTTTCCGCCTATACTTGTTCTCTGGAAGAGTAGTGTAAGCAGCCTCATTTGTTGACTTTGACAAAGTCAAAAGAAAAAAAATTCAGTGTACGTTTTTTTAACATTAAGTACGAGTTCGTTACATGTATAATCACCTTAACTAATCTCCATGACCTAATTTAATTTACGACGAATGAGTAAACTTTAGGAGTATTATCATAATTTCGTTAGGATGAAATAGAAGAATACTTTTTATATAACTATAAATAATTAAACTTTGGAGATATTACCCCTAAACACTGTAAGATGATTTTTTGGTTACAATAAAAGAGTAGAAAATGCCAAAATCAGACAAGTACATTATGAGGGTATGCCATCTATATTAAATCCTGTTTCAACCATGACTGAAAATCCATGGTGGAGCTTGTACCAATTGCAAACCCTATGCTGTCCGCCAAGTAATCAGCTGCAAATCTTTCTCTCTCTATATATAATAAAACTCTAATTGCGACACTCTTCGCCTAACAGCTTTTGGGGCCGACATAAATCTCTTGTGAAACGCTTTATAGTATTTTATTAGCAAGGCTGGAAATCAAAATTTTAGTCAAGGTTCCAAGCTCCTAACAATTTCATCCATACGGCGCCGTACATTCTTTATACATTGATCCATTCTGCCCATCATTTTCGACAACGGTTTCCAACTTCTTGCTCATTCTACTGACCCGTTTTGGCACACTATAAATATCCCTTCTTATGCTCTTCATTTCATTCTAACAAATCCTAATCAAATTCCCCCAAGAAAAGAAAAAATGGCCGCCGAAAATAGTTCGTTAGCTATCATTTTCTCAGTCTTGGTTCTTGTTATGGCCAGTTCACTCCCACAACCTATTTCAGGCCAAAACTGTGGGTGTAAAGGTCTGTGTTGCAGCAAGTGGGGCTACTGTGGAACCGGCAATGACTACTGCGGTTCCGGCTGCCGGGAGGGTCCTTGTTACTCCTCCGGTGGTGGTGGCGGTGGCGGTGGCGGTGTTGCTGGTATAGTGAGTGATGCTTTCTTCAATGGGATAGCTAATCAAGCCGGTTCAGGCTGTGCTGGAAAAAGGTTCTACACTCGATCCGCATTTCTTAACGCTGTGAAATCGTATCCTGGATTCGGAACCACTGGTTCTGTTGATGTTGCCAAGAGGGAGATTGCTGCTTTCTTTGCTCATGTTACTCATGAGACTGGACGTAAGCTTTTTGTTAATTCCTTTATTTTTGTAGCTAAAGACAAGTGGACGGATTCTCGTAATTACTTTTGTTCCATTTCGCAGATTTTTGCTACATTGAAGAGATTAACGGTGCATCAAGAAACTATTGCGACAGGAGCAACACCCAATATCCATGTGTGCCCGGGAAGGGCTATTATGGAAGGGGTCCTCTCCAAATTTCATGGAACTACAACTATGGTGCTGCAGGAAAAAGCATTGGATTCAATGGTTTGAACAACCCTGAAATTGTGGCCCAAAACAATGTGATTTCATTCAAAACTGGCTTGTGGTTTTGGATGAACAATTGCCATTCAAAGATCACTTCTGGCCTGGGTTTTGGAGCTACAATTAAGGCAATCAATGGCAACCTTGAATGTAACGGTGCAAATCCAGCAACTGTTAGTGCTAGGGTTGGGTATTATGTTGCTTATTGTCGCCAACTAGGTGTTGATCCTGGTCCTAATCTCAGATGCTAAGATGATAGAATATTCTCGGCCAAAAATAGTTTCGGGACAAAGATAATTTCAGCTAGTGTTTATCATTTGGTGAATAATTAATGAAAACCTTAGCAATAATGTGCCCCAGATTTAAGTTAATAATAATGTGGCCAAGCTGTACTTGTCTGATTTTTATTCTTTTGTGACGTAATGCTCTTTTATCTCAAATAAAGTAAAACCTTCTTTTCTTGTTTTGGGCAGTTTTGTTTAGGAATCCATTATGTTTGGTCATCTTGTTCCATAATATTATATGGCATTTTCACTTGTTCTAAGCTTTCTGTATTATACTTTTTCAATTGAAAATAAAACTTAAAAACGCATTTTAAAATTAATCGTGTTTTTCCAATTATTTATGAAATATTTAAGTTTTTTCTTTTTTTTCAATAATTTTACAATCGAAGCGCCCCCAGTGGAAACCATTAGTGATGTCATCTGTTCTCCTTCTGCTGTGTAATTACCAGCGATAAATATTTATAGTATTCTTTTTTATTTGACTGAATGAACGTACGGAGCCCTTCAGATAATGTATTAATTGTTTTTTGGTACAGAACTTAATTTCAGTATCCTTGTGAAAAGTACATATGTATGACATTTTCCTTATCGCAAATCAGCACTACACATCACGAAACACGATAAACACTGTAGAATAATCAAATCACAAGATGTAAAGAAATCCTATTACACCAAACTAAGATATTGAGAGAGTTGTGCATGGATCCTTTGGATTATTGAAGCATATCTTATTTCAAAATGGGGATGGTCTCATTGACTACGTCTAACTCATCAACAGGTTCATTCTGAAGACCATCTCATTCCATACATTCAAAATATAATAAATTGTAGCACAAGATGAGAGTACTGTTAGTTAGTGTTTTTTTTTTTTCCCTTTCCCTTTTTCTTAGTATCTAGTATGTTCAACTGTTTGCATGATCGATCCATCGAATGGATCCATATAAATAACATTATTTTTTATATTACCTTCATTTTTCTTATCTATCGTTTTAGGACGAATTCAAAATTTTTTTTATTTGTGGTTCTTCATTTCCAATACATCATTAAATGCAGTTTTTCCATTTCACCGTTATTTTTCTCTATTTTTAATAACATATATTAATGACAACTACATATTCTTTTACTTCAATTTTAAATTTTTGTAGAGTTCTAATACTTTTAATTAGGGGCAAGAAACGTATTTTACTTTAAAATTAAATTATCCATTATTGCTTTCTTAATACCTGTGCAAACCTTAAAACGACAGATGAAAAAAATAGAGGTAGTATAAATAACACACTATTACAAAAATGAGCAGTTGAGATACTTTTTTGTCTCAGTAAGTGGTATAAAAGTACACATGTGTCTTAAACTGTGTAAGACACTACTCCATATATAATGTCGACTATAATCGAGTCACAAGGACTCATAAGACATTTGAAAGTGTATTATCAGATTGTAATTTGATACGACACTTTAAAGTGACCCATTATATAAACTAATAGTTCAAAAGAGAATATTAGTGTATACGTCCCAACATTTATACCCTACTAGCGAATTCATCCCAAAGTTTTAGAATTGGTTAATTACGTCCAAGGTTATCAAAACTGAGTAGATCCATCCCATGACCTGCAAACCAACAAAAGTGACCTGATATAACAGGTAAAATCATTTGGATCCCATATTTAACATTTTTTACTTTTCTTTATTTGAATTTTTTAATTTTTTTAAAGTTTATTGAAACAAAAAACAACATTTATAAATGGAGAAACTAAAAACTTTAATTTATTTGTAATGAATCTAATTTATTTTATAATCAGATTCATCTTAATTTTTCGATAAAATTTACAGAAACTTTCCAAAAAGAATTCTTTATTTTGAGTGAAAAATAGAATGATTATACTTACACACACACACATATATATCTTGTATTCAAAAATTAATTAATTTTGAGTTTATCTAAAATTATAAATTATGTCATTTGTGATGAAGAAATTATTTTTATTAATTAAGTAAGTTTTTTCGAGTTCTTTTTTTAATTTAGAAATTTTATTTGTTTTTTAATGAACTAAAAAATGACTAAAACATAAAAAAAGAAGAGAAAAAAGAATAAATATTAAACCCAATAGATTTTTACATGTTATATCAAGTCATTTTTGTTGTTTTGCAGGTCATGTGATGGATATGCTCAATTTTGATAATCTTGGGAAGTAATTGATCAATTTTAAAACGTTGGGATGAATTAGCATACTGGTGTAAACGTTGGGATGTATCTACTCTTTCACCCAAGTTCAAAAACAACCTAAATAGTACACTTATGATGGTGTTTCATAATACGAACACTTTTTTTTATTTTTTAATAGGACACTTTTTCTCCTAATACACATTTAATGAGACACATTTTAAGAAAGATGTCCCACCATAAAGGTATTAATAGTACTTATTAGTCGAAGTGACATGTCAGAAATTAAATACGATGCAAACAGTGGCTTCTACTCATAACGTGTAAGTAATTAGACAAGTAATTAAACAACGCTTAATTCCATTGTTCTTTGAAAACCAGTGAAAACAAAAGATTAAAATAACGAGGGTGTGGTTGAGTGATTAATACTGGTTTGGGTGCGTTTTATTCCCGTTCTTCTTTGTATTGTCCCAAATGGTGCCAAAAGCCCAAAACCTTGTCGTCGATCAATGTGAGCTTCTGGGGCGAAAAATTAAAAAAAAAAAAAAACAAAAGGGGCACCAATTGGCTTGGGAAAAAAGAAAGAAGAATCAACAATTCACTCATGTGATCCATGCAAGTTGATTGTCTTCAAGATTTCTGTAGGTGGCTCTTTTGTTTTATTTATTTTGTTTTTTGGTAAAAGGTAATTTTGTATTGCTTCATCATCACTTACAAGTAATATGTATATTTTCCTAAAAACTAAATCCCTAACATGGCTAGGAACCGAACATCATCTCCACTACCATTTCTGTATACATGTTGTATTCTCCATTTCAACTCGTTCTATATCATCAACCATCTAGTCTTTACATTTTCCTGTTTGCTACCAAACTTGCCAATGACATTTTTTGTTTTATTATTATTTGTACTTTCTTATATAAGCTCACGACATTGATTCCATTTCGATTCAGACACACTGAAATCTCAATCCAATCGACGAATCCAGCTTTCCAACGTAACGATTTTAATTTGTTTCAAACTACTGAATTGTGTCGAAACGGAAGATGAAAAGCGTGGATGGTATATTTTCTTCTTGATCATGATGCTCCTGGTACGTTTGATAAAGTATCTCGGAATTCTTTTTTATTGCCAAAACTTTTGAGTTTGAATAATCTATGTAAGAATCAACAACTCTGTGTGAGTTTCAAAAAAGAAAAAAATTGTTCAAGGAAGAGCGATCTTAGGGTTTGAGAGGCAAGAACAGAAAAGAGGAAAAATCGATCCTTCTGGATTTCAGATTATCAAAGTGAAAGAAGTTACAGAATAATATCTACAACTCTACTTCTATACCGCTGACTAAAACTATCATCTATACACTCTAACTAACACAAATCGATGTAATGGCTACTAATCAAACTATACAATCAAGTTGATTAATCACAGACGTCGAATAATTATGAACATTGATAACTTGGATCAATGACTTGGCACACAAGCTGATTCCCAGAAGCTTCCACGTTTACAAGGTCGATTAGATGCAACTGGATCAAGTGGTGGTTGTCGCCGGAAGGAATCACTTGATCCTGAAGGTTCTGGAGCACATGTCGTTTTGAATTCCATATATGCAGGACCACCTGAAGTGCGGTGAACTTGTGTTGATTCTGCTGACATGGATCCTTCTGTCATGATCCCAACACACTAACTCCTTTGATTTTGTAACATTCCCATTCTTTCACAGAAGAAGCCATTTAGGAGTCATCACACACTTTGTAGCTTCTATGCTTCATCTTCATCATCCCAATCAACCTTCACCCAAAGTATCATCAGCATCTCAAGCTCTAGCAACAGTCACTGGGGAACTTTTACATCTTAGATTCGGTCATCCATCTGATGTTGTTTTGAATCATATTCTAGATTGTAATAACTCAAATTTGGTATCTACAGTTTGTGAAGTTTGTCCATTGGAAAACAAAGTAGATTGAGTTTTCCTTCCAGTGATATATATACTAAACAATGTTTTGAATAGATCCATTTGGATGTTTGGGGACCATATAAACAACCTTCTTTATCAGGTTGTCACTATTTCTTTTCTATTGTTGATAATCATAGTCGATGTTCTTGGATTTTTTATTCAAAAATAAGACCGAAGTATCAGACTTAGTAAAACTTCCTGAATCAGATTAAAATCCAATTTTAGGCCATAGTTAAAGTCATGCGTACAGACCATGGCACTGAATTTCTAAATCAATCATTTCACTCTTTGTTTTTTGATCTTAGAATCATTCATCATAGAAGCTGTCCTTACACTCCACAGCAAAATGGAGTGGTTGAAAGAAAACATAGACATCTCATTCAAGTTGCTAGATCATTTCTTATTCAATCTGAACTACCAAAACAGTTTTGGGGGGATGCTGTTTTGACAGCAACTTTTTTGATTAATAGATTACCAAGCCAAACCATACAATGGAAGTCACCATGTGAGATTCTATTCCATGAAAAACCAGATCTATCTTTTCTTAGAGTTTTTGGATGCCTTACATATGATGTTGACAATAGTCCCCATAGAGATAAGTTTGATCCAAGATCACAAAAGGGTATATTTGTGCGATATCATTTTGGACAGAAGGGTTACAAAATATATTGCTATAACCTTAAAAAGACCATCATTTCTAGGGATGTTCAATTCTATGAACATGTCTTTCCTTTCATAAATACAGTCACAGATGATTTTATTTCTCCTACCTATTCTATATCAGGTGATGATTATGAGTATAATCTTGTTGTCATTCCTAAGTCTACTTCTTCTTCAACACATGATACTTCC